GGCCTCCAACCTAAGAGCGATGGCCTCCAACCGACTAGCGATGGCCTAGGAACCAAACGATCTAAAAGCCTAGGAGCCAAATGATTAGCGTGAGCTATCCTGCGTCCATATGTAGCAGCTACCTAGCTTCTACTAGCTACCTAGCCACTACCTCCAACCTCGCCTTACCCCCCTGGTCTTCAAGAAATAACATGGCGATGGCCTCCAAGCATCTCCAAGCTAGGTGTTTTGGATGTGAGTGCTGGCTTTGGATTGCTCTGCATCCCTTTGGCTCGCCGTGGATGCTCTGTGGCAGCTCTGGCCGCTGCTGAGGCCGGAGTAGCCACAACTTCGGATCAAAAATATCCGCTCCACTTGCGCCGTCCTCCCCCACGTGCCTCGATCCTGAAAAACCCGCCGATCTCCGTTTTCGAACGCAGGTGGCCCGTGAGAACGGGCGCCGCAACGCGGCGCCGGTGCTGTGGCTCGACGCGGAAAGCGACCTCTTCGGTGGGGGTGACGGCACGGACGTGGTGACCGCGGTGGTGGCCGGCGCAGTGCCGCGGAGTGGATTGCAGGCGGAGGTCTGGGCCTTGCTGCAACAGGAGGTGCGGGTGGATACTGCCTTGAGCGAATGTCCTGGGAACCTCATTAGCAAAAGGAACCGAATGGCGATGGCCTCCACCCGACCAACGAGCGAATGGCCTTGAAGCGACCAACGAGCTATGGCCTCCAACCTACTAGGGATGGCCTCCAACTTAATAGCGATGGCCCGATGACCTTCAACCTATATATAGCGATGGCCTCCACCTAATAGCGCTAATAGCAATGGCCTCCAACTATATCTGGGTGGATGAGAGGAGATACCTGGTGGCTGTGGCAGGTCCAAGACTTCTTCTACATCTCGTCCTACCCCGGCAGCCAGGCCTCAACACGAAGACTTCTCGTGGTGGCGGAGTGAAGGGGTTAGGTCCTGGTCCTCGGAGGTCTCCTCGGTCGCGGGCTTCGTGACGGTTTTGATGGAATGTGGTGCCTAAAGAAGAGGTGTCAGGTGTCAGGTGTCAGGGTCGGATGATGAAGCATTCCGTTTTTTTCCTAGGAGAGGCGATACCCACCAGCTGCATACCCATTCAGATGCTCATTTTTGCGGGGCGTTTGCCTGCAGGTGGATTGGCCAAAGCTTGCGGACATGGGCTATGAACTGAAGGTGTTGGAGGTGGCTGATCCAATGCCAGGCCTCAAGAAAACGCCGCTTTGTAGAAAGCTCTGGCCAAACAGGAGGTATATAGGTACTGTGTGTAAGGCCAGAAAAAGCTTTGTTTGGGTACCCCAGCCTTCGAAGACCATTTAAAAGGGTTGCCCTGGCTTTCTTATAAGTTGTAAAATCCTTAGTAAACAACGGTTGTTCGGTAAGGACCATTGTAACAACGGTGGATCCTAGGTGCCCACCCCAAGTGTGCCGGACGCACAAGGACAGCAACAGCAGAAAAAGCTAACTGGAGAAAGCACCAGCCCCAAGGGCAGCAGGTCTTTGCAAACTGCCAAGAACACAGGAATCCCGTTGAGTGTGTCACAACCGGTTGACCACTATAGGAAGAACCACCCACTCACCATGGGGAGAACTGGTCTGAACTCACGGAGAAAAGGTCTCACTCACCCCGTGCTGCGCATCCGAAGAGGCACCCAACACGTGGAGATCCGGGCGCACTTCACGCGCGTAGCAGCGCGCGTCGCAGCGCGCGTGCCGGGGGTTCCCGGCGGCGCGCTGTGGAGGGGCGCAGGCGAACGGTCGACCTGTGCCAAGAAGCTTGAGCGATGAATTCCGTCGCGACGTCGCGAAGTAGTTGGAAGTGTTTCAGCCAAAGCCCTGGCCTCTGCGCAAAGTCGTCGGTGAATCCAAGATCCTACAAAAAACAGTTCTGAGTTCTCAGCGAAGCCAAACCAGTTCGCACGTAGTATCGCTACATCCACTGCCACGGACCACATCGGGACAGCGGGTTGCTGGGTGTTTGTTGATTCGACCTGCAGAAACTTACATGTTCGTTTGGTGAACCGCTGGGTGTCCTGGACACTGTGTGCCAGCCCTGGACTACCCAGCCCACTACTGTCCGGAATCGACAGGTCTGGGATGGTCGGGTAGGGACAGGGCGGAGCGGGTCGCCGCTGGCTGGGGTACCTCGTTTCATCGCTGAGACCGTTTCCAGGGACGGTGTGGACCGACGGACCAGCGGAGCTACCAAGTCCCCCCCTGACAGCTGGTCCATTGGTTCATTTGGCAAGAAAGAAGCGCTGGCGGCATTGTTCTTTCCCCAACCACGCAGTGGGACGAGGCCGAGACCCGACCCGACCGAGGACGGAGTGGCTCTGTGGTCGCTGCGAGAATTTGGTCTTCCGCCGGCACCGGCACCTCTGCCCCCGCTGCGGCGCGCTGCGGGAGGCCGGAGCTGAGGCCCGGCTGCGGCGCAAGGCGCGGCGTGTGGAGCGGGCGGTTTGGGGGGTTGGGTGGGGTGCCTTGGTTTGTCGGGAAGAGAGGATGGAATGGATGGTGGAGTCGCATCTGGAATGGATATTTGAATGATTTCATGACACGTTCACTTGCCCTTTCATAGCCTCTTTGTTGTTTCGTATTGTTTTCATTCTTGAGAAGAATGACGCACCTCACTGGCTGTGGCTGTGCCACAGCGGCAGGTGGAGATATCCACGGTCATCAAAGCCTTGCAGAGAGATGCCGACGTGAGGGAAGACTGGCTGGCACACTGCAAGGCATCAGATGCATCCAAGGACGTCCCATCGTTTCATGGGGTGTCCCATGTGGAAACCGGATGAAACTCGATGAAACCGGGTATTTTCACATGTCTTCTTCTTGGAAGCTGTCTTGAAAGGGGGGTGGATTGGGATTCGCACCATGTTCAACATAGGTTCTTCAATCTTGGTCCAATCTTTGAGCCCCTATGTCTTCACTAAGCTTGGAACATGACCATTTTTGTCCCTCTCCCGATCTCTGCGGATCAGGATCCCATGAAGCACCTACACGAATCCAATGTGCAGTTCCTGCAGCAATGGCTGTCACATCCTGGGCTCCAAGCCTATCAAAGCCTTCTTCACCAGCATGGGCTGCTGCTTCCCTCTTCCTCGCCCACCATGGACACCTCCGGGTCGTCCCCCTCCGGGTCCCCTGCGGGGGTCACGTTGCCCGCCCTGCGCCCCGTGGCTGGACGTCGGTGGTGGTTCGGCCGGAAGGTCTGAGTTGGGAGGTTGAGAGACCAGGGTCCGAACGAGACCCGTAAGGTCTGTTGGTATGTATGGGAGTGGGCGAGTCTGATGGGCTCTTCAACCTCTCTTGGTCTGAGTTTTTTCATATTTTTGCCCATCAAAAGGCTATTGCCCAGAGACGCGACCCGGGCCTCGGCGCCCATTCGGCCCCGAAATCCGAGGGTTCGGAGCTGAATCGGAGGGGTCTGGGGTCGAAGCATGCCCTAGGTTTTGGGTTTTGAGGGACCAAGCTAGGGTTGTTTGGAGCGTCTGGGTGTAATCTAAAAATTGGAATAAAACAAGATGATGAGTGACAGGTCCAGTTCTGTCAACAAGATGTTGCCTCTGCTGTACCAATCGGGATAGAAACTGCAGGAGAGTCGCCTTGCTGCGACACTGAAGACCAGGTGTTTCGCCTTGCACCCGACCTTTCGAAGAAGAGAAGGGAACACGGAAGAGGATGTGACCCGCTCTTCTTCACAAGCCAAGCTCCCAACTGGCTTACGGAGCATTTTCCCAGAAACAGGGGTGCTTGGTGAGTTCGGGCTTTCACGTGCGACTCACCTTCCCAACGAGGTTGTGAATGAACCTCGCCCGAAATGAATGGCACCACCATTCATCCGTGCTATTCAGCGCTTGATGCGATCCATTGCGAGCCTCAAGCCAACCTCCACCACAACCTTTCCCCAACTCTTTCGCGACGAACAACGGCCCTCATCCCGTCCCCGCCTCCTTGCCTCACCCACCGGAACGCCAACACCGAGTTCCCGCTCTGCTTTCCGGAACCAACGCCCCGGAACACCACACCCCGGGACGACGCGTTTCACGCGGCGTCGCCGGCCGCGTCGCCGGCCACTGCCCCCGAGGCCTGGGCCGTGCGTGGCCTCGACGGCTGCTGCTGCTGTGGGCGGAGCGGGTCGCCACGGCGATTCCCTGGGCCCAGGAGCTGCTGGAGAGCGTGGCCGGCAGCGGAAGCGGAAGCGGTGCCTGCGATGCCTGCGGTGCCTGGGTCGCCGTTTTTGGGCAAAACTCAGGCAACACCATGTAAAACCATTGGTTGATTGGTTGGTTGCGACCCAAACGATCGACCGGCTGCGTTCCGGGTTAAACGGGACGCCGCTGTCCAGCCATTAGTTGCGGACCTGCGGGCGATCTTGGTGATAGTTTGAACGATGGCGACTTGAAAACCACTTTCGCGGTTTTTCTCGGTTGAAAGATGTTTTTGTTAACTCTCTGGAGATGGAGTTCCATGTTGCGCCAGTGGATCTCGTCGCCGCAATTGAGATTTCTTTACATCAACTATTTCGGTGGCTGGGCCGGGGGGAACCATCCCGTGGAAAAATGATTGGATCTCAAGCTGGCACTTTTTGTTGGAACAACCGTTGTTGAACAACCAGCTTGTTTGTTTTTTGTTGAGACTGGGTGTCCAGGTACTTGGCCATACTTTCCTTTCTTTTCTCGGAAGAACAGGAATGGGGAAAAGGGAACGAGACAGCTTCAAACCATGGATTGTTATGACAAAAGGAACATAAGGAACGGAACAGGGGGCATCCAGGGAGCGTTTCTTGGCTTTTCAACGAAGCACACTTGATTCCGCAGACCTTTTCTTCCACCCTCGCTGTGGAAGTTCCCACAGCGGTGTGCTGATCTTAACCTTTTGGGGACGATCGCGGGGTGTCCACCACAGATCTGAAAAAGGCCCCGTCTTCCGAGCATCTTCTGTTTGCTTCATTTCTTCGGTGGCAAGTGATACGACCTAGCACTTCCTGTCTGGGTGCCCTCCCTGTCTCAAGCAGACCTTGAGGGGGTTGTCCAGCCAGGTGACCCGTTTCACGGAAGCAGAACTGCTGGGGACCGTTGACCAGCTACTGCGTCGCGTCGCTTGCGAGGCTTGCGGCGGTTGTGGGTCAGCCACTCAACGCTGCGGCCCAGTGGTGCTTCGGATTGGCGAGAATCTGCCTGGACGGTTTCCCCGCTTTCTCAACCAGAAACAGTGATGATGGATGGAACTTCCCCAGTCACAGCCACCATAAAACAGAATCTCAATGCTGGTGCCATATTGGCACAACCAGAACGTTTCTGGTAGAGCTTGGGGTTTCCAGGTGGGCGGATCCTAGCGTGGTAAGGCACTGATTCCCATCCTTTCGCCAGCGGGGAATCTCACTCGAGCTCTTGTTGTTTCAACGTTGCCACTGGTGTCCATCGATCCAGCTTGTTCCTAGGTCCTTGGGATTGGCTGGACGTGACGCAGACGCAAGAGCTCTTGGGATCCGAGCGAGACATCTGCGTCTTGGTGTCTGAGCCCAATCCGTGGACCGCGTGGACCGCGCGCAGGACGCCGTGCCCGACGGACCCGCGTGGAACACGTGGCGCGTAGAACGAGAGTGACGCATGGCTCGAGGGAGCGTTGAAAACACATGGCGCGCATGACTCATGACGGTTAACAGTGGTGGATTCAGAGCCCTCTAAACCATGGCCCTTCGTCCCCGAACACGGACCCCACCGCCGTTGTTCCTGGTGCGGTGGGGCTTGGCTTGGTGCGCGCATTCGGAACCAGGTTTGCTCGCCTCACCTTCACGCCGATGCCTTCGGGGTCTTGTCTGGCTTGCTGCTGGGCGGTGGCTTGTTGGTGCTGGTGGCTGAGACCGGGCGCGCCAAGGTGCGGCAGGGGGCTGGGAGCATCGGGAGCGGAGCGGAGCAGTTCAGACGGCTGGACCATCCTGGACTTGGGAGTGTCCTGTTTGATTTCGGATAGCAGTGTAGGTATAGCTCAGAGGAGTTGAGAATTACACGCGTCCAAGCGAGGTTTTTTATGGCTGTAGCTGATGGCTGTTGCGCCTTGAAGGGCTTGTTGCGCCTTGGTTGTTACAAGTTTGGGGTTGCGCCACTTGTCTATCCTTGCGAGTCTTTGAAAGATGAGGGGCTTTGTGTTGCACGTTCGAAGACATTCTCTTCGCAGGCCTGCATCGCAGAACCCTCGGTCTAAATGCCCGATGTTGAGCAGTTTCACAGAGCATCTGAGGGACTCCGAAAAAGCAAAGAAAAGGCACAGTTTCACGGCGTTTCGACCAGCGCTCAGCGCGAGGTCTCCTTTTCAGAGCTCGCCCTTCGACCGACGTTTCTGGCACTTCTTGCAGCGCTGCCCCCACGCGCGCCTCGCGTACGGCAGCCCCTGTCTCGAGCACGTGGGCGAGGAGCACGAGAACGGCGCGGCCGCGCACGCGGCGACGGCGGCGGAGGCCGAGGAGGCCGAGGAGGCCGAGATGAAGACGGTGGGGCTGTGCAAGACGGTGGAGCAGAAAGCAGCACTGGAGGAGAGAAGTTGGCCACCTTTTCGACGTGACGTTTGTGGTGGGACGCTGGAAAGGACATGGTTGGGGTTCAGACGTACCGGGGGGGCCGTGTACGGTTGGCATCACCTGTTAGGATCCATTCGGACCCCCTCTGAACGAGCTTCTGCCAGTCTCCAAGAGGACATGCTGGCAAAACATGCCAAAACCAGCATGGTGTGAGGTGTCCCAATATGTCCTATTAATCATTATTAATCCTTTTGAAAAGGGCACGAAATGCAGCAGCAGAAGCGATACAACCTAAAATAGAACCAGACTATCAATCTTCCATCTTCACCAATCTTCATCATTTTGAGGGATGGAACACGCGAGGTGAAAGACCAATTGATTCTTTGTGGTTGCTTTTTTCCACCGAATGACAGGGTCGTCTTCAGGCCTTGTTGAACCATGTCCAGACGACCCGTGGCAGCGCCGTGGCACTCTTGGCACCACGGGGGCGTGGCAAAAGTAGCTTGCTCGGGCTGCTGGCAGCAGCACTCAAAGAGGACGTGCTGGTTCCTGGGACATTCTGAATGTGGTGGGTGGGTAGGTGGGTGGGTGGGTGGGCGGGTGGGTGGGTGCTTGAATGGTTTGTTCAAAGGGTTGTTCCACTCGGGTCGTGGTGTTTTGGAGTGAAGATTTCACCCTCGGACTCTCCAAGGGGAGGGTGCTTTGGGCCCGGATGCTCTTCGCTCATTCTTTCGGATCAAACAAGAAACCCTCTTCCATCAGGCATCGCGTGTTCAATCACCTAGGCAAGTGCAAACTGGACATGACAAGTTTTACATGAAACATCTCCAGTTTGCACTTGCCCAGGTTATGGAAGACTTGGGTACGTGAGCTGTCACGTTCGCTCACGAGCTGTCCATGCTTTGGACGAGCTGTCCACTCGTCGACCACCGAGTGATCGACGGATGGGGAGGACACCTCCCCTCGAGTCGTGTGCTGTTCATGAGCCTTTTTCGGGGATCCCACACAGAAACAGAAAGTCCAAGAAACCTTGGTTCCATGATGTTCCATGTAGGTTGAGTGGTTGAGGCGCTTCATGGTCTTTGTCAGCAAAGCAGCCAAGACCCCGGTGTCACGTATACAGGTTAGAGGCTTTTAGTTGAGTGCAACACCTGAATGTTCAGACCCCAAATACGTTCGTTTACCATGTTCTGAATGCATCTGGGGGAAGCTTCTAAACGGCAAGGGTCAGGGCTTTTGGCCCAGCATCCGTTTCGGGCTTGGTCGATGCGGCGCCTGCGTGTTGCGTTGGTAAGGTTTTTTTGGTCCGCTGCGGTGGCGACACACCGCACCGCGCTCAGTGAGGTAGTAGCTCCGACAGTGAGCTCGGTGGTGGAAGTCTTTCAACGCGCAAAGGAGGCACTGGCCACACGGGCACAGGTGCTGGAGCATCATGCAGGCGCCGAGGATTGGTGTCTGGAGGTCATGGAGAGCGGCGCCTGGGCGATGAAATGGAAGACACACAGCGGAAATGGAAATCATCAGCGTGGAACAGTGAACGCCCCAGCTGTCGTTTTCTCTTTTATGCGGATTTCAGAAGGTCGTTTTCTTTTGGGGGTGGCCATTTGCCACTTGCATGATTCCATTCGGTTTGGACCTTCCAGCAGCTCCTCCAAGCCACATCAAATCTAACTGTTCGGTCGGTGGATTTCGCTCAGGTTCCACTTGGCGGATCTCGCTCCACATCGGACTGCCCGAGCTCTCCGCGACGACGCTGCTGCTCGACGAGGCCGCGCGCTTTCCGCCCGCGGCGCTCCAGGCCGTGCTGATGGCCGCGGCGGACCGGGCGGCGCGGTGCGTGGTGGCCAGCACCGTGCATGGCTATGAGGGCACCGGAAGCGGGTTGATGAGGCTGGTGGAGCAGTTGCAATTGGAGGCCAGGCTCTTCGGGGGGGGTGGGAGAAGATAGATAGACCTAGAACCCCATTTGACCTCTGTTTTGATAGGAAGTTTGACCTGATTTTGGGTGGTTGGTGTTCCAAAATAGAGGTCAGATTCAGGTTCTAGGGATCTTGATCTTCATTCAAGTTCTGGAAGGCGGTTTTGTGATTTCGTTTCGATCTGGTTTAGTTGGTCCAACTTCCTGACAATTGTAGCAGGATGGCTCCACAAATCAGATTGCAGACTTCAAGCACGGCAGTCAATGAAGCTCCGAGACCTGACACAAGCATTAAATGAAGGCGTTTCAAAGGCATTGAATTCAAGAGCCCAGACGCGACCATGGACCCTCCGTTCCGTAGGGGTCCGGACCCGAAGCAATCCCTAGGGCTTTGAGGGATCAAGAGCTGTGAACGGAGCGGGGAGATGTCTTTCCGTCACATGGGGGATGAGGTCGTGAGGATCTTCACACCTTCGCCCGACCACATCTTTCACCACCGAATGGATCCCGGGCGCGGTTGCTTCGGGCGCCCGAAGCTGGGCATGTCTGAATATGCTGGCGAAATGGCTGAGGAGGAATGTGCACTGCTCATTTTGTCCAGCGATTTTTTCCTATCTTGGAAGGATGCTGAACAAATCCACCATTTCGTACGCCGTGCCCAAATCGTGCACCCCCGGTGCCAGTACACGACCCCCCCCTTTTCTCAGCTGCTTTGCAGTGTCAGATCGCATCAATGGGCGACGCGAAGATGGCACCGTCGACGCAGGGGAAACGACGCGCCATACACCATCTGGGTTTCCCCCCGTCTCAACCGGAAACAGTTCTGGTTGTTCCAATATAGCGCCAGCTTGAAATACTTTGCATTGAAAATGGCTGGGACTGGGAAACACATCCCAAAACCGTTGGGGCCCGACACGTCCGCCCCCATCACATCAGCGCCATGGACGACGGAGCGGAGCTCTTGGCGCGTGCGCTCGAGGCTCTGCGCTCGAGCTCTGCGACCGCAGACGTGGATGTTTGCCTTGATCCCACCCAGTGATCTGTCGCATGGATTCGCATCAGCCGTCACTGCAGCCCACAGCGTGTGTCACACGTGTTTTCGTTTAGTAGTACCGCACATCGCCGCCGCTGGTTCCAGCGTTGCGAGCAGCGCTGGGTGTCTCGGGGCAGAAGACACATCACCAGTGTCAACCCAATATGACGCGGCATCACCAGCAAGCAGCACGACGCTCTCTTGTGACACCTACGGTCACCTACCCAACATGTTTCTCGGAGGTAACCTCAATGAGCAGAGACAACGTCCTCTGATTCTACTTCTGCAGCTTGGTTGGTTGCATGTTAGTAGAACAGCGTCGTCAAACCATTTTTTGCGACTTCCAGAAAAGAAGGACGGTCAACAAAAACCGTTTGCAACTTCCGCATAGGATGAGACCTTAAGCGATGAGATGGTCATTGGAGTTGGCTTCTTATCCGGAAGTCCAAGACCATTTTCCAAAATCAGTTGGTTCTATAGTATGTTTTAGTGCAACTTCCTTAAGACAGCTCGGTTCTTCGGGTTTCAAGCGACTTCCTGCGACTTGGTGGGTCCCGTTCGAGCAGACACGGAAAGCGGCGCGCTCGCAGCTGTCAGGTGGTGCGGCTGCGGCAGCCGATCCGGTGGCCTCCGGAGGATCCACTGGAAGGCGCAGTGGGGACGGCTGATTCGGAGGTTTGGAGGTCACACACCTGGAGGGTCACGTGGTCACGTGCGCGGGTTGGAGGTGTTGTCTTTTCTTGGGGGGAAGGTGAGTAAAAAGGAGGAACTCTTTGACAGGACCCTCGTGGTAGAGCCCTCTACGTGAGTATAAGGAACGGGAAGGTGTTCGTACATCGAAATCTCAGGTGGTATTTTTGGAGAACACATGATGTGTGCGGGCTGTGCTACATATTGGTCGTCGGAGATCTTAACCAGGTAGGGTTCATCCTCCAAAGGTGCTATAGGTTCTTTGCAGTGTCAAAGTGTTCATCCCCTCCACGTTGAAGTTCGGGACGCGGACGCTTTTCGCGTGACACCTCGAGAAGATGTGGCACATGCCTTGCGACCGAAGCAAAGCGAGAACAAAAAGGTTTAGTAGGCCCATCCACCCCCACGTCCTCCAAGGCCACCCAAATCACCGGTCGCCCCATCTGGATACCCCAATCGCCGGCCCCGTTCGAACAACCGGGTGTTTGTAGTGCAAAACAGCTGGTTCTTCGGGATGACCCGCCTATTTTTAACGAACTCGAGGTCAGGTGAACAGACCGAAAAAAATGAAGTAACTGGAAACTGGTCATACCAAAAACACAGGTTTTCATGGAGGTTTCATGACCAATGAAGAACCATTGTCTTTTTTACATGGTGTTTGCTCACAATTTGACAGTGCAAATACCAGATCGTTCTCATGTACTCGTCCTGAAAGGCGATAGAAAATAACACGGCCGGCCTTCACCCTGCCCGCGGTTGGACTCCCGGCCAGTCCGTGCGTTGACGTCCCAAACGCACGCGCGCGGTCCGCGGCGGAAGGCCTGGCCTCGAAGACGTTGCAACTCGATCCGGAACCGCTCCCAGTCGATCGGACGCTCTACGAGGGACTACGAGCTGAGGACGGGACGAGACCTGCGTCTGGCGACGGATGTTTGGTTGAGAAGAGACCATGGGTGGCTGATTGCCTTGCGTGGACTTGCATGGTGTCGTCCGCAAGCAAGTGCTTTATAGTCCCTAGAAGTCCAAAGACTATGTTCAGCACCACCCAGGAAGTTCCTTTTCGGATCACCTAAAGACCGTTTAAAAAATGGTCTTGGACTCCCAGGGTAGTCATAGTCATAGTGGTTGTTTTCTTGCATGTGTTTCTTCTTGATGTTTCTATTGGTGGGGTGGAAGGGGTGAGCTGCGATTGTTTGTTGACACCTCCCAGAGACACGTCCAAACGTTGGGCCGGTGGGGCTGGGTTCTTGCAGGGTTGGACTCTCTTTGCAGACCATGTTTTGAACAACAGATGCAGCACATGTTTCGAACATCTAGTAGCGATGCCCTTGTTACTATAGTAGCTTCTATATATAGAGTGTAGTAATGCCCGGGCGTTACTAGCGATGCACCACCTGTTACTATAGAGGCCATGTCACTGAAGGGTTTGTCCAAGAAGTCCCACCTGAATCGGTTCGCTGTGAGTCTAAATCTTCTGCCTGACCCGTGAGGTAGGTGAGGTAGGTGACCTGGCAAGGACAAGCTCATTTTCCAGGTCAGGAACAGGCCGAAAAATGAAATACTGGAGGTATAGTCATACAAAAAGACTATAGTAAAACATGTAAAACGATGCTCCTCAGGACGCTGGGTGAGACGGCTTGGGGTGGTTGGCCACAGACGGTCCTGGGTGGGGTCGTCCTGACTAGCAGGAGCTCTCGGTGGAGCGCGTGCGACGCCCGGTTCTCCTCCAGAACGAAGAGATCCTTCGCGCCACTGAGCTACGAACGGAAGATGATGACATGGGTGCTCTCATACCAGTGGCGGGTGCATTCCAGTGGTGGTTGCATACCACAATGGTTCTGTGTGCAAAGCTCTTTGGGTCTTGGACAAGACTTATTAGGTTGTCTTGCTGGCATGCCTCGAATCGAGATAAATCCGTGCTGGCTGGGATGATAGGCCGGTGTTTCTGGTGGTCTATGAAATTCTGAACTATGGTATATTTCGCCGCACCCTAGGGATCCAGTCGTACCTTCTCATGAAGGCGCCTTGAGGGTCCGGTCGTACCGAACCTGAGGTTCGGTACGACTGGATCCCAAACGGGACAGTATGTCAACGTGAAAGATCGGCGCTGGAGGAAGATGACGACTCTTTGGCTTCTCCACGACGTTGCCGTGGGGAAAGACTTGCGTTGGTTCCAAAACGATCGGCGGACATCTGCGAAGCGGCGGTTCTTGAGACTCCCCAGCGGTGGATCGACCGCGAACTTCAGGGACTTGACAACAAAGGTTTCTACCCCACCTGGTAGTCATAATTCCACTACCATCTACGGTAAAACTGAATCTGTAGAATCAAACAGTGGTTATCTGGAACTGTTCTATCTGCCTCTCCTTCAGCTGCTTTCTCTTCAGGAAGTCTATGGGCTGCTGTCCATCGCCCACTACCGCACGGGCCCGGGGGATTTGCGCATGCTCCTGGACGAGACCCGCCTCGAGGCCCGCCCAAGGCGTAGAGGTGGGAATTTGGGACGAGGCGTGGGGGTCTTTGGCCAAATTTGGACGAAGGACCAAGAGAGGTTATATGTGACTTTATAGGACCCTACTGGGGTACGTATGGGATAGTCTATAGGGTCCTTCAACCTCTGTTGGTAGCTAGCTTCTTGCTACGTCCGTAGTAATGCCCTTGTTACGTTCGTAGCGATGCACTCGTTACTACTAGCTTTTAGCTTCGTTCATAGCAATGCCAGGAGCTATACTAGTAGCGATGCACTTGTTACTAGCTTCTTGCCTTTTTCTTTCTTTTTTTTCGGAATTGACCCCTTTATACGACCTAGAGGTCCTTCAGGTGTTCTTTTTTTGGGGGGAGGATCTTGTTTTCTCCTTTTCACGAGATTGCAACCATTGCAAGCATGACCTCTGGCCAAAGCCCACTTACCTCGACGGAAGCACTTCACGCATGGCTACCATGGATACATCAAAAGGCCAGCACGCTGGACATGCTACCCTTGTAGCTGGCCCCCCTAAAACATGAGCCAGCTGGTTATCAATTCTTTTCTGTGGATCCATGTTATTCGCATTCGACAAAACTACACAGCGTGATAGAACATATGGCTCAAAAGCCTGGTGTTCTTCTGAACACCCAATTCGGCTTGCAAGACAGTCTTTATTTGGATGGTCTCCCACGAATTCTAACCTTTAGTATTCCGCGGTGTTAAGTGTCAATCTCTAGTTTCTGGCGCAGGTCACATAGTGACTAGTGTGATATGACATGTTCCTCGTTGCCACCGTCCCTTCCACCCGTGCTCATCGCGGTGGCAACGCCAGGTCTTTGGCCTGTGGAACCGACGGAGGGGCGTGACCGTGACGGTGGGAACTGGTCTGTGCGCCTGCGCGTTGCTGGTGCATGAGCAACGAGGGAACTTGAAGCGCCATGACCTTCTGGCAGAGTCACTGAAGGCGGGGGAAATGTGAAAGAAAACAAAACCGCTTTTGGGAGGCACAAGAAGGAAGAATCGGGGATGGGGAGGGTGATGGTTCTTGGAATGATGTGATGGATTCTTTTTTCCAGTCTTGTTCCAAGCGAATGATGATTCGGGTGGGAAGAACATCAGAAAACATTGGCGACGACCGAGAGGGACACAACATGTTTCACCTATAGATGCCGAACATGTGCTCGGAGTGCTCGTCGTTCGATGCACCCGTTTTTGGGATTTCAGATGACACCAAAGACGTCTCTCCGCGCCTTTCTGGCATACCTTTTTCCCTTATTGGATTAGGTATGCCGTATACATCGTAACACCCTAGGATTCCCACCACCATTGTGTTGAATAGCCTGAATCCGTTGGTTTTACGGATTTGACACGTCACCAGGTCACCAGGATTCGAGCTCGTCCGGAAGAGCCTCGCGTCGCGCACACCCGCGCGGCGTCGCGTTGCTCCAGGAGTCCTTGGGGTGTCGCCTGGAAGAGACCGAGACGGAAGAGCCCTTGAGATGTGTGAGAGTCGCCCTTTGGCGGGTCGCGACGGACGAACGAGTCGCCCGTTGGGACGAACGACCGACGGGCGGTTTGGATCGAAGGTCTTGACGTTCCTGAAGTCTGAAGTCTGAGCAAACTGGGAGGTGTGAATCAATTTGACATGGTTTGAGACGACATGGTACCGACCTTTCCAACCAAAGGGTGAGACCACGGCGTTCCCGTCGTTCACCACGGCGGTTCGGACCTTGAGGTGCGTGTGGCGGTGCATCCGGAGCTCCAAGGCCGAGGGATGGGGCGGCAACTGGTCAAGGAGCTCAGTGCCACCCTCCGAGCACGAGGTGTGCCATGGGCCGGACCCGCCGCAAAGAGGGAGAAGGACCACCGACCAAAACGGGGCTCGGCCGGACTGGCCGGAACTTCGGCACAACACGAAGACGCTTTTTGATTGTGTTTTTTTTTTTTTTAATGGTCTTTACCAGACAACCATCAAGTTCTAGTGTTCTACTGATTTTACAACTACAAAACCAAGTCCTTCCCATGTTCTAGATACTATTTGAAGGCTTTTCAGCTTGAGGGGTATGCCGGTATGCCCTATAAGTCCAGTGAAAGACGAAATGGGCACCACCGAAGTGGTGACATTCCGGATTTTTTGGTCCTGGCCTCGTCTTGGCCTCGCAGGGTACACATACCTATAAGATCTTCCAACTATGCAACATTCTGCCTGTTCATCCATCAAAACCAGCCCCCAAAAAGAAACAGATCTTTTGCACCGTTCGGAATTTTCTAGGTCTGTGTCTGAGAGGTAGTAGGTCGTATGATGATGTGTGTTGCAGGGCGATCTATACAAATCGGACATGTTCCTCCCAACACCATTCTTTTCTGCACACGGATTTCGCACCGCACACCCAGTGAACGACACGTCGGAATGTGTTCACGGATGCCGACTGCTCCCCGCGGTGGATGAACGGCATCGGAAGGAAAGAGCTGGTGGTCTGTTGGTGAGTCGATGAACATGAGCAAGTGCCAATCACCATGGTGGTCGAGAATGGCGGTCTTTTTTTCTAGACACCCCTGCAAAAATGTCTTTTCCATCCAATGTTCGTCATCCTGGTGGTGTTCTTTTGATGTTTGATTTGAGGTTGGGTTAGGCCTTGAAGACTGGAAGGGTCTTGGGTTGGAGGTAGAAACGAAGCTATGCAGTAGAGTGGGAGCGATTGTTCTTCAAAAACGGGCAGGAGAAGTTGGGCACGAGAATGTTCTTTGAAGAACACTCACTGCATGAGGGAGGGTTCCTAGATGTCTAGGGAAACTATAGTGAGAGCAGATTCATTCAATCTTCGTGTTCTCGCTATAGGTTGACCTGCGTTCCCTTCACTTCGTGAAACTAATCGATCGCCCTGTCCAGCATGTCCAGCACACCTCGTTTCACACCTCCCAGCGCATCCATCTCCCTCCGGTGCCACGCGGGATTCCCTTTCCAGGCTCGGTGGATCTGCTGGGCGTCGTCTTCCGCGGCCCCGCGCCGCGCCTGCGGCGCTTCTGGCGCGACGCCTGCGGCTGGAGCGCCCGCGCGGCGCCCGCCGAGCAGAAGCTGTCGCTGTTCCTGCGGGCGGTGTCGGCGCGGGCAGAGCAGTGGATGGAGACGGCGAAGATGGAAGCAGGATGAAGCGGATATCGACTTACTTCATGGATGGTGAGAGAAGAGGATCCTTGGGAACAGATGAAGACGTTCAGGAGTTGGACTGCAGAGTTGGAGACCTTTGATGGCAGAGTTGGAGATGTTGGAGAACCTCGCATCCCTTTTTTCTTGTTGGACAAGCGGAGAAAAGGGTGTTAAAACCAATCCACACTACCAGAACCCTTCAACGAGGTCTCCTGTCAGGTGGTGACCTGTTTATCGTCAGGTGCAGGTAATTGCCATGCAGAGAGACTTGTCGACGGTGTTTTTCCTTGCCAAAAGAACTCTTCGTGGCCACGACACCGAATTCCAGGTGGAACAAATTCCCAAACACTCCATGGGACTGCCATCTATGCCTATAGATTGAACCCCCAAAACCACCCCAATGTAATCATACATGGCATACATGGAGTGTCTGGGATTGAGAACACCAAGCTTGAACAAACATATCCCGGGAACACCCTCTCGCTGGAAAAGAGGGCTTTTCAGCTCTTTGCTGGACGTTTGAGAAGAACGGACACCCCAACATTTGGGGCCCCAACCCTTATAAGACCATTTTGCAGGTGTCAGGCCCAGACCTGAACAAACATCCACCAAAACCAAGGTGGAACAGCCAAAGGACACCAGCACCATCATCCCGTATACGAGCCTGATTGGCACCCCGCATGACCCGACCCTGGCCACGTGCCACGCGATCCCGTCCGAGGAAGATCGATCCGCCCCGGAGGTCGCTGGCGACGCGCGGGGTGTGGCGACCAGCGATGGAGGTGCAAACGAAGCCGCGAAGCAAACGATACGGCCATAGACCCCTCCCAAGCCAGCGAAAGTGACACGATCGCAGTTTCCACCGAGTTGTGACACGATTCGTAGCCACAGCATTCGTGGCGTGCAGCCCAAAGGAAGGGGGTCGGTGCGTGGCGGCTAGCCGCGAAGTGTCGTGGAACCTTTCAAGGAGCGCTTCTCGGCAGTTTGGGTGACACACCATCCCAAACCTCAGGCTTCACCTCACGGCACTAAATGACTGGCATCAAGCCTGCCCAAGGGTGAGGTCACTGGTCTCTGGTCACCACAGGATGCGCATCGGACTTCCAACATAAACATAAACTAGTCTGTTCGTCTCTCTACAATCCAAAACCACCTGAAGAACGTCGGAAACCATTCAGCAGGACTTGATGAAGATCATTGCTTCCAGCAGTCACATGTCGGGGTGGTGTTTGGATCCCAAGTGAGTGGATGTTCTGGGCACCCCTAACCTCCATGGATCGCACCCCTTTGTGACTGCCGGTTAATGCAATGGCCCTCTCCGGACCACCCGTCGGCAAGTGTGTTGCTTCGAGCTCGGGGAGTCTCCGAACGAAAGGGGAGAGCTCAAGCCGGCTTTTTGGGGTGCTGCTCGAAAAGCCGGTGATTTGCTTCTTCAGAGGGCAGTCCAGCCAGGACACCCAGTGGCAGGATGGTATACCAGTACGGTTTTCATGTTTGTTTCAACATTCATCGAGGAGGATGAATCCCAGTGCCAGGCATGTTCACAAATCGTTCAATCGAACGCACCCACTGCCAGGCACCCGACCTCATCCGACCCGACCCCCCCCCCAACACGCCGGTCGAAGCGGCGGAGTTCCTCCTCACCAGCGGCTTCGGATGGCGCCTCGCGGCCTCTGCCAGGTGGAGGGCGGTCTTCGTCCAGGACGAGACACTGGAGGATGTCGCCAGGTGAGATGAGAGATGAGAGTCGGCAGAGAGGACAGATGAAAAAAAACATCCTAAACACGACTAATGGGACTGCCATATATGCTTACATTGGGGTGGTTTTGGGGGTTCAATGTAAGCATATATGGCAGTCCCGACCCCGCCACCTTTATGCATGCACACGAGAGGCAAAGCTGCTGATCTTGGTGAGTTCCGTGCCGGTGCAGTGAGGTTTCTTGGCCGTTTGAACTGGGAGTGTTGGGTTTCCGGCCGCCCGTGGGCGATGCCTTCGCGGGACCGTGGGCGATGTTCTACCGAGACCGTGTAGGACATCACTGCACCGTTGGACCATGTAGGAGAAGCCTTCATGATTGGTTGCAGCTCCTTCTGCACGCTCCTCTTTCTAGCTGATTCCAGTGCTTGGATTGTTTGCATGCCACATGTGTCTGCAGCAGTTTGAGACTCGAGACTCATCGATAGTCAGACGTGTGCCTGGTGCTTGTGAAACACAGACCTTGTTTTGATGATGCTCCGTTTGTTCATGATTGGCCTTGGACTAGCAGC